CGTGCCTCCTGCAAAATTCCAGAGTCAGAGGCTCCTTGCTGCAGATGGGAATCTCATGCTGATTTTCTCCCCCGCCCCAGGGTCTCCCAGGGAGAGACGGAGTATCTGGAAGTCCTGGAGAAAACGGGAGGAATGTGAGTGCCCTTAGGGCTTTGTGGGGGGGGGGGTTCCTCGGTAGAAACTTAGCGAGTACCCCATGATCTGCCCAACGCTACCTGGTGCCGGTTACTCAGCTGCGCTTTGTTTAGAAATTTTAAAGGGATCTCGGAAAGTGCTGTTACCCGAATCTTGCGGCTGATAGAGATTTTTCATTCTTACAATTTACCAGGTGCTCCATCTCTTCTCCCTCCCCCAGTCCTGTTTCCCTCCCCTCCCCCAAACACGCTGAACACATGCTTTAAAAACATTATCTTTGCTGCTTTCAAATATTTGGCCAGGGTTTATCTCACCAAATATTTGAGAAATCCGAAAGGAAATACTAACCTTGCGGTCCAAGGGAACGAGGGGTAAGAAGGCTGAAGTGGTTGTGTATTTGTTATTGTTTTAATAATTATCTATTTTGCTGTAACTGAAATAAGGAAACTAGGTTTGTTTTTTATTTCTAGTGTATTGCATCTTCAATTGCTTTTAAAAGAAATTTCGGACATGTCTGTTGCAGAATAGTTCATTGCGCGCCCAATCTCTCAGTCCTGCAGAAGAAATGCTAGAGCCCATGTGGTAGACACGATCTGCAGGAAGCCATCTGAGAGCTTGTGGGGCCCAGGGGCACAGAGGGGGTGGCCCTCATAGCTGGGAGAAGCAGCTCCCTGCGAGGGGCGGCCGAGGTCTGGACGTTTGCAGATCCTCAAGGGAGTTCAGTTCGCTGATGCCTGCCTAGGGCAGGACTCTGCTCAGAAATGAATGGAGCACAAAAGCTGCAAGCCAGGCTGGGCAGCTGAGAACGTGGCCCCTCGGCCACTTCCCGAGGAGGGCCGCACACCCGGCCCCGGCAGCTGGGCCAGTCGAGCACGCCGAGGGGAGGGGCTTTCAAAAGAAAGGACTCCCCAAAATCAAACGATGCACTTTGGGCATCACTTTGCTTTTAAAATTCAGAAGAAAACTTAGACTTTGAAAATATGGGTCTAAAAGGTTTGCGCTTTATTTTTGAATAATGATGTGGCAGTTTCAACTCAGCTCGTGAGCAGAGCCAAACTCGGTTTCCTGAGACGGCTGAGAATGTAGCAGTGTGCACAATGTGCTCCAACTCTGTGTACAACGTGGACCGTTGGTTTTGAATCCAGTTACAGTCAAGGGCTCTTGGAGACTCAGTTCTTTCTTTCTAAGCAGGGCAAGGACTGGCCCAGTGGTTCCCTAGCCCCGCTCTGAGGACCGTGCCATTCCAGGCTCAGCCCAGGGTGGAATGTGTGCCGGTGGGCCCTGAGCCAGCTCCAGCACGTCTCCTTGGGCAGGGGCTGGGCCAGATGGTTACTCTGTGGAGGGGAGCAGTGACCCTTCCCCGACTCCCAAATTTCTCCGTGGAAGGTGGCCAAGGTCTTCCACTGACGCGGCTGGCATTACAGCGAATAATGGCAACGTAGTCACCCGAGAAGATCACCGGGCTGGGCCCCGGGGATCGGAGAATGTGGTTCTCTGGTTGGGGTAGTGGACGGGCCAGACCCCGCGACAGAGCTGGCCCGCCGCTGTCTCTGGAATGCCCACCCTGCAGACACAGCCCGGGACATCCGCGGACTCCCACCCGAACTCTCTGCCGCGGAGGAAGCAGTCATGAGCTGGGAGTCACTGGCTCGCTGACCAAGCGAGCCCACGTGCTCGCACTAAGGGTCACCTCTGCAGCGTCCAGGGAGATGTTGCCAAGTCATGAGCCCAACCTGAGCACAGGAGGCTTCCAGGTTCACATGTGTGCGTTTTGGATGCTTCTCTGGGTCTGTGTTGTACTTGGCCTGGAGAATTCGGAGAATCTGGGACTCCCTTCCATCATAGCGAATGGATTTCGTGACTTCTCACTACAGTTAGGAAAAGGGAAGGAAAACTTTAGACAGGTTGACATTGCCTCTTCACGCTCCTCATTTGACGCTGGCAGGGGGCGTGAGCCAGAAGAAGTCATTGTTTTGCTTGGCGGGTCTGCGGCGATTCTCAGAACTGCCACTGGGGCGATGAACAGGCCCAGGGAGGACACAAAGCGTCACTCAGACGGGGCGGAGGACCTTGTCCCTGTGCTCCCCCAGGGCCGCTGAGGCAGTTTCTGGCTTCCGGCACAAAGCAGGTGCTCGGAAGGTCCGAGGTCCCCCGAGCAAGCGAAATATTCAAGGGTTAAGTCTCAGGGAGCCCCAGGCCCTGCGCCGGGTCCCATTCTTCCCGCTCACGGCTCATGTGGGTTTTTTCCTTCCTCAGGGCGGCTTTGGCCGACGGGGCCCCGCAGGAGCTAAGGTAAGCCTCTGGGGTCGGTGGTCGCAACGTTGCTCACGGAGAGCTCCCAGGGGACTGTCCTTCCATGGCCCAGGTCCCACCCAGCCCAGGAATTAAAAACTGCTCTCTCCTGGGGGTGTCAAGGCACCTGTGCTCCAGTAGCAGCTACCATCTCCTGTCACCCGGCCTCCTCTGCAAGGCCTGGGGAAGGCGGTTCCCCGTGAGCCCCGGGTGAGAGGAGGGAGAGACTCCCGGGGAGGCCGAGTGCAGGCCGCCTCCCCGCCAGGACGTGCCCGCCTGCCCGGCCGTCCGCAAGCTGCGCTTCCCGGTGTCTCAGTCCCCCACCCGGGCAAGGCGGGTGCAGGTCCGCGAAGCCGTGGTGAGGAACAGGTGGGAAACGATTGCGGACAGACGTGCAGAGAGACACAGATGATGTGATGACCTGAAGCCCCCGAGAGCGGCGTGTTCCCCGGCCGATCCCCAAGCCCCTAGTCCAGAAATGCCGGGGGGAGGGGGACAGAGAGCCGACGTGGATCGCACCTATCCTGATCCCCCTGTGCCTTCTCTTGTTTCAAAGGGCAACAAGGGCAATCCAGGCCAGCCCGGCTTCGAGGGGGAGCAGGGGACCCGAGGCGCCCAGGTCAGTACTCCCCGAGCCATCGCACGCCCCGGGATATTTTCCCACATTCCCTGGTATTGTCCTTTTTAAAAGCGATGTTTGTCTAACACAAAATGAACCGTTTTAAAGCGAGCAATTCAGTGGCATTTAGTACTTTCACAGTGGTGTGCAAACATCACCTCTGTCCAGTTTCAAAACATTTTCCTCCTCCCCAAAGGAGACCCTGTCCCCATCAGCGGTCCCTCCCCATCACCCTCCACCCCCAGCCCCTGGCAGCCACCAACCTTCTTCCTGTCTTTGTGGCTTTGCCTATTCGGGACGTTTCATACAAATGGAGTCATCTAACAGGTGGCCGTGTGCATTTGGATTTCTTCACCGAGCATAGTGTTTTGAGGTTCATCTGTGTCACGGCAGGTACCAGGACTCCACTCCTTTTCATGGCTGAATAATATTCCCTTGTACGGATACAGCACAATCTGTTCATTCACTTGGTGATTGACGGACGTTTGGGTTGTTTCCACTGTCTGGCTACTGTGAATATCGCCGCTGTGGACATTCATGCTCGAGTTCGTGTTTGAAATTACAGTGGCCTTTTCCTTCCTCAGGGCCCAGCTGGTCCCACGGGTCCTCCAGGCTTGATAGGAGAACAAGGCATTCCTGGAGCTCGGGTGAGCCTGTCCTCATTCCACCCCGCCCCGCTGCTAAGCAGAGTGCAGGTGGCCAAGCAGGCCGGGAGCTTCTTGGGTGCTGCTGCTGCAGGCAGACTGCCCTCTAGCCCCCCTCTTTGGCAACCAGACCCCCCATCCAGCCTCAGCCCTCCCACTGGCTGGCTACTTCACCCCAAGGAAGCAAGAGTCCCCTTTCCTTGGTGTTCCAGGGGCTTCTAATGCCTAATATAGTCCTTTCAAAATAGGCTCCAGGGTGGTAAGCAAGGGAACATTTGCCTCATTTCAGAAGTCTCAGGAAGGAATTGCATAAAAATCTAAATCTACTAAAATTCTTAGATTGTGCCGAGTGTTTCATGCTTGGCTCCTGTGGTTCAGTATTTTGTATAAGGAATTGCTCAAGTTTTATCTTCAAGTTCAGCACAGAAGGTGTGCTGTGGCCACAGACGTTAGCATAGATTGTAGCTATCAGCAACGATCAGCAGAAGCACCTTGCTGTTGCTGGGCTGGGGTCAGGTGCCGAGGAGCTACGTACAGATAACCGGCTTTCGCATCTGAGATGATATGTAGGGAGACGTCCTCTCATTTGTTACAGGAAAAATAATGACGAATGAACTGGAAACGGGCTGGTCTGTTGCTACATAAATGCAAAAACATTTTTTTACAGTGGAAGCAGGCAGGAATTTGCTTAGAAAGCCCTTCTCTAGCTTGAGAACTGATAATAATCTATTTTTAAAGCTTTTGTGAGATTTTAGAAAACACTTATCTAACTTCTAGTTAATCAAGAATGTAAGCTGGCCTAGACACAAAGCTGTTCGAATAGTCAGCCAATAGCCCCAGAGACATTTTTTGATTTGTGTTCCGCCACTGCCTGTCTCAGGGGCATTTCTGGGCTGTGTAGGCTGCACCACGTTTCACAAGTCAGTTTCGTTCATTGCTTTATTCATTCACCAACATGGCAAATTCACTACAGGTTTATGTACCTGTATACATCAGGTGCTCATCGTGGGGGTATAAAAGGGAACGGGAACAAAGTCACGTCAAATCTGGGGGCTTGTTGTCCAGGCAGGAACCTACGACATGTATGTTAATAATTGCAATCTGCATTAATTTGTGTAAACTGGCGCTGAGAGGTAATGCTAGTGTTTTAAATCTGCACAGGCCATTTCCACGCATGTTTGTATCGAGTCTGTAGCCCCGTGTGCGTTCTTAATTAGTGCTTGCGATCTGCAGTCAGGACAGTCACATGCCTGTGTTGGGCTCTGACCCCCCTGCAGGGCTGGGGCGGAGTGGGGGGAGCCGGGATTCAGAGATGCCTTTGCTCGGACGGCTGAAGACCTCGCTGACACACTCCTCTCCTTGCGCTCCAGGGACCCGTAGGT